ACAACTGCATAATAATCATATATCCTTATACAATAAGTTTGGCTCATGGCTTAGAACACAGAAAACCTGTTCCATGAACTGTGTTTTAAAATAACTGAGTTGTTATTGTTACTTCTCAAATTCAAAAAAAGAAATCAAACAGAATAGATGTAATGTTCCAGGACTAGTAACTGTCTTTATATGTTTACAAGATTTAATTATAGCCTACAGGCGAAAACGAAACAACAATTGTTAATAATGACGCAAATGCATTCAGTGAAATAAATTATTAATGTACTATTTTATTCACCTGAGCTGGCACTGCTCTATGTAGAACATGAAGAGCAGTTAACAATTATATACCTCTGGATTTCTATCCACTGGTTACTCTCGCTTTGTCAAACTCGAGCATTGCAATTGTGGATGAACACTGTCGAAGATTTTCAAACTTGAAGAAAGCAGTTTTTGATGCATACCACCTTGGCATTGTTTTATACTTGTTAATCATCTGTATAACTAACCATTTCCTAGTTGATCTTATACCATTTTGAACTGAGATTGTATTGTACTGTACACCAGGTCAAACAGTCGACTAATATTTCTCCTTTCAAGCGATTTTTTTTATTCCTTCACGTTCCCAGTGGAACATAGGGCTTCAAGCCCAGTGGCTTGAAGTTTCTGTAGCAGTGGTGTTTATTTTTACAGGGTGGGGTTGCTAGCCTCACGCCCAACCTTTCCTCTTTACCAGTCTTATTACTGGCATACCGAGGTAAAGGAGTGCGTCGGTGGCCGGACCATGTGCATGGTCGGTGAGTGTCCTAACCGCCGTGCCACCGACGCACTTTCAAGCGATAACTCTTTAGTTTTTATCTCATTAAATAACATTCTGAAATATTTTAACTTGGAATATTAATCCCTCATGAGAGTAGGAAGTTTTCTTAGATTAAACGAAGTATCATAATCTGATAAAAGCTATTCCACATCAGTTATTGCATTCAGTGTTCAAACTTTCGTGTTTGGATACACTTTTAAGGCCTTTTTACATTAAAAGTAGAATTCAAATCAATTTTGTAAAAAAAATTGCAGATCTAACACTAGGCGATTAATTCTGTCAGGTTGTCAGTAGTGACTGATAACCCCAGCTATAAATGTAATAAACTGCCAGTTGAGAAAGTGAATATATATATCTGAATAGAAAGTAGAAGATAACAGCAAAATGTATTCTTGTTTATTTCAATAGTCTAACAGAAAATATCATTCATCTTGTAAAACAAAAAATAAATGCTGATGAAAATGTCATCCCTTCACAGTTTAGCCGTCATCTATCAGTTATTCGTACAACCATCTATCTTAATAGCCGTGATATAAAATTATCATTCAAATGATTGTTTGTAAAAGCTTCCATCCACATATTTTCTTGACATTTAAAAGATTTATTATGGATGCCTTCTTACGAGAATATCTTTAAAAAAATTCTATAGTCGTTTGCATTATATATAAAATGAAATAAGAAATGTAATTTTCAAGTATTGGTTCTGTAGGGTTTTTGTTTGACTGGTTGGAGGGTTTCATCATGGGCTGACATGAGTTAGAGAATCATTGGAAAACCTGCACGGAGTACTTGACAGCTGTTTCGTCCAAGTTTGGGTGCGTACCGATGAAGAGTCCCAAACTAGGCTAACGAAACAGCTGTCAAGTACTCCGTGCAGATTTTCCAATGGTCCTCTAACTGATGTCAGCCAATGATGAAGTCACCTTATCAATATACGAATTTCTTCTGTTGTCTTGACAGAATAAAGTTATGCAATTTATTGAATTGTGTGTGCTCTTGTTGTCGTTCTGATGGAGATTGGTTTTCTACTGCATAAAAGTTGTGGCTTCTGTTGGTGATGTCATAATAGGCAATCCTTCAGTGTGCTCGTAGTTATCGTTTGGTTGACCGGGGTAAATTATTGACTCTTCAGTTAACAATTTGGAGAGTCCACTTGCATTCCATCTACTCTCACGGATCCCTAGCACTTCTATGCTATATCTTTTCGTTTTTTATGCAGTCTGAGCAGCCTCCTCAGCTTCGAACACAGTGCGGAGATTTTATGCCCACCTGCTTGTTTTCACATTTATCAGAAGCATAAATATCGATTGATTGAATTCTTGAAGGCTTCCATCAGCCTGTGTCATTCAGTCTCTCCGACTCCAGCGAACAACATGGAAGACAGAGGTGGCGAAGTCATGTAACCAAAAGCAAAATGCAACAGTCGCTATCATCTGGAAAGATTTGAAGGAAATCACTTTTTCCTCTTATCTAGGGGGCATCATTTCAACTACATGGCGACACGGATGAAGATGTCAAAGCCAGCCAGCATCGGAAAAGTAAGGCAGACCTTCATTAGTCTGAAATCACTCTGGAAGTCTACTGCACTAGGCATAATGAACGAGATTCGTATTTTCAGCACTAATTTCATGTCGGTTCTTTTATATGATCTCGAGAATTGGCGTGTAACCAAAAGCATTTTGAACAGCCTTCAGACTTTTGTCAACAGTTGCCTTCACGGACTCCATACCGAAGTTCAGGTGACCGGATAGAAAAGATTAGCAACAAGGGGCTTTAGGAAAGAACCAGCCAAGAACCAATCGCTCAACAAATATTCCGAAGAAAATGGAGATGGATAAAATACACACTGAGGAGACTGCTGAGTGTGATTGCCCTCGAGTGGAAACCGACTGGGAAACGACAGGTTAGGCGTAGGTCTGAGGCTGACCTGGAGGAGATAATGTTAGGGAGATGAGAGCTTCTGGCAAATCGTAAAGCCATCTAAAGAGGACTGCAGAAAACATAATGAAATACATATATTCTGTTGAAGCCATATGTTCCAATAGGAACCTAAGGAAATAATAATAATGTGATTTATGCTACATCTGCGGACAACAAGTCACTTCACAAGTTGTATGCATGTGTTTGACTTTTTCTGGATAGTTTCATATTTTTGCATCCTGTAAACAATTAAGCCACTGGGACCAAATCCAATGGCCAGCGCATGAATTCTAACTTCTGCCAATTTTACAGTTTCCTTTGGAAACCGATACGATTCAGATCACACACACACACACACACACACAATATGTGGTCTGTTTGATACCATATATGGTAATCAAGAAAACAAGCATATTTGCACAAAACTACTATATACTACTGATTGGTTGAGATGAGTAGTTGCATGCCACCAATCATATCAACCAGTAGGGCTTGCTAGCCAGCCAGATCTAGGGGATCAGGTGGTTTGACGAGATTCAGCTGGGTCAAACTGAGTACTTCACTGATGAAATCGGTCCTAAAACGGACGAATCGGTCGTTCGATGTCTCGACTGCTTCGATTTGGCTAGCAGCAAGCACTACAATTTGATGTGAGAGGGGAACACAACTACTCATGCTTGAATAATTACCTGTATATATATACTTTACATTTTACGCTCTTGTATTTCAATGATGGTTTAGGTTTTTATATTATTATTTGTTGTACTAGAAATTCTGCTTTCCCCCTGTATCGTTTGCTCACTTTTGTTATTTTGCTTTATTTTTGTTTTCATTTTACTCTATGAAATCAACAGAAATTCGTTCGTTATTATTCTAGACTTAGTGACAGATGTAGTAATCATGGTCAAAATGAATCAAGTGGTCATTCACAAAATGTTATTCACAACAACACCAACTATAATAATAATAATAATAGTATGGAGAAAGCAGCGCAAGAAGAGTTGTTAATATCAACAGATTTAAAAGAGAATGGCAATAATAATAATGCTATTAATAATAACAATAATAGTCATGGTATAATGGATCATTATAGTCCACAGATAAGTAAAAATGATAATGATGAAAATGACTGGGATTCACCGTCAACTGAATCACGTTTAGTAATGTCTACAACAACAACCACCTCTGCACCGCTGGCATCATCAGTCAATACAAGTCCTGCTGATGAAAAATTATCAATACTTAAAGCGAATGATGTCAACAATAAACAGATACAACAAGAAGATGAATCAATGGTGATGATGACGACAAGTGTAAAGAATTATCGGTATACACAGGAGAATAGTTGGTATATGTTTCGAAATTGTTTTGGTCTGTGCTGTTTCAAACCGGTAAGTGTTGCTTATCACACATACACTAAAATCAACTACCACCCAATAGATAACTTGTTTTCGAGATACAGCAGTGATTTTTACGCAATATACATCCGTTTTTCCACAAGAGAAACTCACCTAAATGAATTTTACAGGCATTTTTCATCCTGTTTTACTGATAGAGTGTGTTACACATCTTTAATGTCTTTACCGAAAATACATATAACTGGTATTGGCGAAGTTAAACTTTAAGCACCACTAAATACCAATGGAGTGCGACCGCACCAATGACCTTGAAACGTTCACTGAACAAGTTAGTGAAACCTGGCAAATAATGCTGTCATCATCAATAAAATATGCTTATCGAAGTGTTATGCTATTAAATGGGATTTTTAGCCAGTTTCACCTTAGGTTGTGAGGAAAGATTAAGTTAAGGTTTAGGCCAATGACAAGTTAGGGTTACGTTAACCTATTAAAGACGAAATTAGCGTTAGTTCAAGTTAGATTAGGGTTAGTTTAGGCATATTTTCATGTTAGGGGCAGTTTATGAAAGATTAGGGTTACTGTTAGGGTTAGAAGACCTAAATAATTACATGCATAGAATGTGGTTAAATTACTCTGTTGATATAAGAACAGAACCTGTGCACTGTGGTAGAGTATAATTCCACTGTGGGTAAAATCTATTTTGATAAATTCTCACAATATTATACAGTAACATTTACTGATGACGTTTCGAGCACAGTTTATTGCCCAGTAAATATTACTGTATAACACCGTGAGACTTTATCAAAATAAATTTTACCCACAATGGGATTATGCTGTGTGTTGATACACCAACCTAAAACTGAGAGCTATTTTTTATCAAATGTGAGAGGAAGGTATCCTTTGTAACATCTTTTATACAGTTTTTACACATCTTTTTCAGAAATATATGTATTCCATACACAAAAATGCCTCCTTCACGTGATTGGTGCGTTCGAGGTCATTCGCTGATTGGTGGTAGTTGGTGGTGCTTAAAGTTTAATTTCGCCCTGGTATTGATTAGCCAGTTGCTTATTCAAATTTATCTCTATATTGACTGACTAACTGGATTTCAACGTAGAACTTTGCACAGAAATGCAGAAAAGTTCAAATTGCCACAGTCCATGTAGCCTACAAATTCATAGCTGAAAAAAGAGATTCAAAGGAGGTATAAGGAGCAGAAATGTGAAGGAGAAAAAAAGCATAGAAACATTGAAAAACACAAGGGTTTAATGAATCTGGGAGAATACAAAGAGTGTATACATCTGAACCATTCAGAATAATTTTGAACTATATCATCAACAGTCTGAAGTCATTGGTTCTTAATTTGCCCACTCCTAAGTCTTTTCCAACTTAATCTTATAATTAGTTAACATTACTAGTTGAAGAAGGCAGTGGCCTGGCATGCTGTGTGATAATCTGGGGTTGACTGACTGATTACTACTGATGTAATAGATGGTGATTGGAGACGAAATCAAATTCTATAGCAACTGAGATTTTCACATCACCTCCAATCATCATACGCGATAGCGTTAGAAATTTACTGGATACTAATGTTCACATATGTAAAAGTACAGTTAATTTGGGATTATTATTATTATCGAAAACAAGTTCATTCTTTAATTTATGAAGCATAAAGTTCCTTTGAACCTCACTTTATACAAGTGGTGTTGTTACAGTTGTTAAGTCAAATTCACAATTTATACATTAATGCGCGATTAGCAATTTACACAATTCCTGGGAGGGAGGGAAGTGAAATTTCACCGCGTTTCCCTTTGGAAACCGAGACTATTCAGATACCTCCCACCCCACACACACACAATATGTAACCTACTTGGTTCCCATAATAAATGGCAATCAAGATGGCAAGAATTAATGCATGGCGTCATACACTACTGATTGTTTCATATGAGTAGTTAAATATAATTCTCATCAACTAGTAGTGTGTTGAAGTTGTGTTTGTTGCCTATGAGCATAGAAGTCACTTGATTATAATGAATGACAGCGAATTAATCGTATTTCTCCTCTCACTTTAATCTAAACAGAAGATTTTGTGAAGTTTTATTTATTTTGAGAAAAAAACTCAACCATAACAATGGATCACAAGATGTAACATATTGAATACGACATTGTTATGCATGTTAGTATTACCAGTGGTGCAAACAAATGTCAAGTAGAACTAAGTCAAGCAATAACGAGTTAGTAAGAAAACCATGACACTAATTGGCACTTGCTGTATAAATATCACAAATTTGGCCAGAATTGCAATTCAGGGGCGTTTGGATCGGATCTTAGGGGTTGAATGGTCTATGAGATTGCCTTGTAACCGGAAGATCCTGGATTCAAACCTCTGAGGGTGTTTACTACTGTTGAAGAGTCCTGAACTGGGACGAAACAGCTGCCCACTACTCCCTGGTTCTTGATGGGGTTTTTTTACTGATCTCAGCTTGTGGTCAAACCTGTAAAGAAAACCATGCGTTAATAAACGCCAGTCTGTTCTGCAAATAAATTAATATTATTATTATTGTTTCCTTTAATTCCTAGAGGAACATAGGGCTTCAGCCGTGCGTCTCCATTGCGTTCGGTTCTCTGCTAGAGTCTTCACCTGGCTCCAAGTCTGCCCATACGTTTTCATCTCCTCTTCACATGACCTCCTCCAAGTCACCCTTGCACTGACGACCAATTCGCCGCTTCCCTTTCGGGTTCCACTCGAGCGATGGCTTGTCTAGTGATGTCACTTGATGGCTTCCTCAGAGTATGGCCAGCCAATCCATCTCCATTTCTTCCTGCCTATTTGTTTCACGATCGGTTCCTGGTTGGTTCGTTCCCAGAGATCTCTGTTGCTGATCTTTTCTGGCCAGCCATCTGATCTTGAGTATTGAGCGAAGACAACTGTCAATGAAGGTCTGTAGTTTGTTTAAGATGCTCTTTATGACGCGCTGGGCAAGTCTCTGATCCGTATAGTAGCACTGACTTAATATTGGAGTTGAAAATCCGGATCTTATTTTTGACGCTGAGTGCTGTTGACCTCCACACAGACTTGAGAGTAGTGAAAGCTTGTCTTGCTTTTCCGATTCTTGCTTTGATATCCTCGTCAGTTCCGCCTGTAGTTGAAACGATGCTTCCCAGTTAGGTAGGTAAAAAAGGTTGTTTCTTTCAGGTTCCTCCCATTTATGCTGATTGTTGTCAGTTGTTGTTGTTGCTGCTGGTGGTGTTGCCCAGGAATCTTCATCACCTCTGTTTTCTCTATGTTCACCTGAAGTCCTATCTTTGATGCCTCTTCTGTCAACTTGTTGCTTTTCGCTTGCATATCTTCCAGTTTGTGGGAAATCAGACATATATCATCGGCGAAGTCCAGATCCTCCAAGTTTTTGTGTGAGTCCATTTTATGCCTGTTTCCTCATTGCCCGCTGTTTGTCGCATTATCCAATCTACTGCAATCAGGAAAATCATTGGCGATAGTAGGCAGCCAGCTTGTCTTACTTCTGTCTTCACTTCGAAGGATTCCGTAAGTTTCCCGTTGTGTATTACTTGACATGCAGCATTGTCGTACAGCTGTTGGATGAGATGTATAATTGTCGGTGGTACCCCGTAGTAGCGAAGTAGTTTCCGAATCACCTCTCGATCGACGCTGCGCTATCGAATGCCTTTTCAAAGTCGATGAAGTTGAGTGAGGTTGAGAGGTGACTGCCATTCCAAGCTTTGTTCAATGATGATCCGTAATGTGGCGATTTGATCAATACATGAGTTGTTTCTCCTGAATCCAGCCTGTCTGTTCTGAAAAGAGATCTGTTAATGATCTGCACTAAAAGTAGTAGTAGTAGTAGTTCACTATAGTAATCAATATGAATGTAACGTTTGACTTTAAGTGAATCAAAATGCAATTTAAGGTTTTTGTTTAAATTTACTAAAGTCTAGTCTATCTTTCTTTGTAATGACACTCTACGGTCTATTAATTTATGACATACATTTACCAGTTTTTCATGAGACATTCTTTTTTCATACTGGAAATTGTGTGTGTGTGTCATTGTGTCACTCTACGACTACACAAATAATGCTTATAAATAGCTTTACTTTCATGTGACACGTGTCTAAGTTAGTTTTGAGTGATAGTGAAAACCAAAATAAAGAAATACTGAAGAAAATGTTTTCAATGCTATTTGAATATATCTGACTAAATCTCAGTATAGTTTGCTTACCTACTACCATCTTTGTTCAGTTCTCATTGGGGAATAAAACTGAATACTTGTAGTATTCAGATCTTTATTTCCATTCGTATGCGATTCGTCTGGAATGAATATGGGCCTTCAAGGTTTAAAGTTTTAGTAGTGATGGTACTGCCTCTATGGGGTGAGGTGGCTGGTCTCCCAGTAAACCTTTACCCTTTTTTCGTGGCTTACTACCGACTAGGCCAGTTAGAGGAGTGCGTTGGCTGAAAATTGAACCCCAACCACTTCCGTGGTTGGCAAGTACTCTGATTAACTTTCTAATGCTTATATAGATTTAATTGAAATTTAGTCTATTTTAAAAGTTGGAGGATTTAATCATGAGCTGACATCAGTTAGAGAACCATTGGAAAACCAGCTGGGAGTACTGGACAGCTGTTTCGTCCTAGTTTTGGATTCTCCATCAGCATGCACCCACCGCCAGGGTTCGAACTCAGGACCTTCGGGCTACAGGGCTAGCTCGTACACCATTAAGCCACTGGGACCCGATCCAATGGCCAGTCCATGAATTCTAACTCCTGCCAACCAATATTTGAAAAGTATTCCTGACTGGGATTTAGCAATTCTTATCCAAATTTAAACTAATTCTAATGCAGATTTCATCATGCGCCAACATCAGTTGGAGGGATCATTGAAAACCAGGTAGCACTGCGCAGCTGTTCTACCCTAGTTCAACGGTCTTCATCAGTGCATATCCATAGCCCCACCGGGGACTCTGTGGTTACGAGATCAAGCTAGTTTACTGTTCAGTCACTTGGACGAGAATTCAAT